GACGGCTTGGTAAGGTTGTAGGCAGCCCTTCCTTCCCCATCTCATCGATTTCTTAGCAAACTGTCCTAACCGGATTGCATCGCGCCGACGGAACAAGCGCTACGCTCTCGTTGGAAAGCCAGATGACACTTATCAGCAGTCGGATGCGTGTCACCTCAGCACAAGCGAAACATATGTTTGGATGGCTAAATTCGACCCCGCCTGTGTCTCTATCGACCGATGCATCGATGCACGGGATTTTCTGGCTCGTCCAATCTTCACCCCCTTGTACAATCTTAGAGCGACGCACAAGTGGTGGTGGTATAACAACTTTTGTGTTGAATGTCGCAAAACTACTAAGGCCGACGAGGCTGGGTCCCAGCGCTTCTGGGATATGTTGCCCAAGTTGTTTGGTCTTCTGCTCCTTGGGCCGATCTCGAAAATGAGCTATAGAGTTAGATTTATCGTAATTGGTTTGGCTGAGTACAAAGGCTTGCTGTGTGGTTTTTGCGGGAGATTCAAGTGTCTTTCAAGTGTGTATTGAACTCGCAGCCCATGGTAAGACCTCAAATCTATTGACTCAAGACCGCGCGACTCTTCGGCGAAGAGTGCGCTGTTTTGAAGGGGGTGATTTCGGAAATACAGTGTTTGTACTCTGAGACGTCGTGTGAAGGAAGTAAACGAGCGGACATGGGCTGCGCATGCAACGAAGATAAACCGTAAAGTCGATGAATTTATAGTAGTCATGTTGAAAACGCTCGGAAGAAAAGATAAATTACCACCTTTGCACTTTCGCAGTACTTACTTCGCTTGCCTGTTTAAATGCATTGCCCGATAACGATCAGTCGAGATGCCGGCGCTCAGTCACTTGTGATTCAACCAACGATGTGAGCCAATCAAGAAGATTGAACGGGCAAGGCGTAATAAACACTGATGCAAGGTTTCGTGCTGCCATCAGCGTGTAGCTTGCTGTCTCGTCAGGTCTCGGCTCCAACGTTTTGCTACTATCAGACCGTCTGGACTTGATACGACTGTCGCAACTGTGGTTTAATTGAAAGAGATTTGGACGGTTACTTGGACAAGTTGAACACGCTCCTTAGAAACTTTGGACGGTATCAGTTGCTACTTGTGCTAGAAAGTAGAACTGGTTGCTTCCTGTACAGCTATTTAACGAAGCAACCTACTAAACGACGATTAATGTTGTTTCCTCTGCCCGGCAGAGAAGTGTTTCTTTATTTTGGACTAGGTAGAGGCTGAAACAACGCCAGGTCGTGTCAGATGGCATAAGACAGAGAATCAGAACGAACCAGAGTAGAGAGCGAGGGCATCATAGGCTCCGACTGTGGCCGTGAATGTGCCGTCTGAAGCAACGTCGTATGTGGTCCCAGAGCACGTCTTCGGGTCCGCATCTGTGTCGTGGCTGATGAAAGGTTCAAGTCAATGTTGTTGCAACTTGGCGTCCAGCGAGCTCACATTATATCACAGTCTAAATAGAGCGAGCTAGTAAGAATAAAGTGCGCGAGAATCGAGCAAAAAAACATACAGGTTCCGCTCGGAAGAGAGGTGGAGAATGTTTGTGACCAAGCACCTCCGTCGTTGTTGATGACCAAAAATCCAGCAGAGCCGCGTCCAAACGCTGATGTTCGTAAGCCAACAAGGATTCACTTTACAATTCTACAAAATTACTCACCGACTTGCTGAGCAGTTCCGGCGACAACGTTGGTCAAGTCTGCGGAACCGACGGCGGTGCGGAATTGAACCATGTTCGCGATCGAAGTCCAGCGATGCTCGCCTAAGTATAAAGTCAGCAAACGAACGTTGCAATTTTTATTAACAATATGGACCACGCACATCGGAACCCGTCAGAGAAGCAGGTGATTTGGTTGGTGTACCCGGCAGAGTCTTGAGGGGCACCTGGATGGCACATTTAGCCCACTCGAAATGACCCAGCTCGCGAAATTTACTCGCCTATGTCGATATCCGAGAAGTTGTAGCTTTGTTCAAAGGCGACGTCAGCAAACAAAAGACGAGGGAGAGAGATCGGTATATACCCAGAGTAGACTGTCGGTGTGCCATAATTGAATCCCAACATGAAGATGGCAGAAAGAGTGTAGGCGTTGTTGGCGGCGGAAGCAGTGAGAGAACTACCAGTTCGCTCTGTGTCTTGGTTCGCCATGATATAATTGGCAGAACTCGAGTCGATGAGGTCCCATGCGGTGCCCATGGCTGCCACAATTTAGAAACAAGAATGACGAAGAGTATATCGTGGCTTGCGACTTACGAACGGGCGTCACCAAGTTGGACACCTGACGAAGTGGTCAACACCGCTGCCGGACGAGAGAAAAGAGAAATTGCCTACAGATCCGGATGTTCCAAGGAAAGCGGCCATGGCAAACTGAGTAGCGCCGAAGGCAATAACATCCCTGACGCCGATTTCAGCTCCTGAAGCCGGATGACATTCAGAACCAACCCATTCCCAACGTATTGCGACGGGTCTGACGCTCCACCTACAGTTACTTCCTGAGTTTTGGGTCAGATATTTGCAGCTACAGAATGGGAATAGATAGAACCTGGGTGAAGTACGGAGACCCGTTCACTCCAGAAAAGATGTTTGAGCCCAAAACTGAGGGTTCCATGTGCTTGGCCGCATCTACCCTGAAGCCCGCGACGCCCTGAATGTGCAATGAGCCCCAAAAGGTGGAGTTTCGAAGAAAGATCTACAAGAGAGACAAGGTCGTTGAGATACGCAATGACAGGTTCTTGAACACCAGATTGTTCTTGAGCTAGATCCGACAGGCTGACAAGCTGACGAGATGGAAGGTCAGTGACAGTCAGGTCCGATGAAACACGGTTAAACCTCGCAGAAGCGGACGCTGAGATAAGGTCAGCGAATATAAGGTTCGAAGTCGGAAGCGCGAATACTTTGTAGCATTATTGTAGTCGACAACATCTTCAGCATTTGAGCCGTCGCAGTAATGGAAATTGCTTTCGTCATATGGTACGGCCGGACTGTTGAGTGTTAGTCGCCGGTGAGAGCAGACTGTTGCGCTGGACTTACTAGTTGTACTTTGAGTACGTGCTCCCGCCAAAACCAGTCCCCCCGCCGGCAGTCATGTGGTTAGTCACCACTTCCGCAAAACGTCAGATTACAGACAACGGAACGTTCGGTGAGTTTTCGTACCGTCTACAAGAATTCCAACGCCAGCGTTTGCACATGTGGAAACCATGTTGATGAATTGCGTGCGATTGCCTCGCTTGGAGGTGAGGATGTATGACACAGGCTGGTAGTCAGTCCACCATTGTTCCCCTTGGACTGGATGATCTAATTCAGAGAAATTGACGGTATTGCAGGCGAGCACCCGCACTGTGTTCCGAAGCCGGGCTAACTTGAGCATACCCATACCCAGCGGGTCCAAGAAAAGAGGTGCATTCGGCGGCTACGCTGTCCCATGGCCATTCGAAGAGCTGCAGATAGATAAATGAGGATTGTGCATATGTGGTCGAAAAAAGATACTATTACCTGGACAATTGTCCCGCTGACTTTCGGTGTTGAACGACCGACATGTGCGGCGCTGCCGGGAGTGACGCTGGGCTTCGGTGCAGGAGAGCGACCACGAAGGATGCTGCCAGCAGCAACGCAGGAGAGCAAAGGAATAGCGAGCAATAGAGTAGGAACGACCATGGTTCGTTCCGAGTAAGTTGTGAGTTGGAGGCGAATGCCAATGAGAATGTGATATTTGAGCAGAATTCTTATCGGGCCCTTATCGTGGGTGCAGAGGACCGTCGTCAGTGCAACTGCACCACGTATCAGTGCAACGGCGCTCTCGGTGAAATCATTCATATGAAAAGCCAAAGACACACAGAATACACGCATGAATTCCGCCCATTGTACCCGCGCATCCCAGATCCAATATGCAGGTGATTACAGCTTTGAAGTCAATCGAGCTGAGTTGTGTAGGATTATCGTGCTTCAAGCTTGGTTGTGTTGAGTGAACAGGTGGCGAAGTCCCATCAAGATCATCTGTGTTCCGTTGATCGATATGCACAGCCTGTATGATCCGCTAACTCGTTTGTTGGTTCCATTTGGGTTGCATTCACAATCTTCAACTTTGTATTCGCGTTGCGCGTCTCGATATACCACCTCTGAAACCGTCTTTTTCTTCGAGAATGAAGCTTTCCCCCTCGACACTTTCGAGCACAACCAGCAATCTGATATGGCACAACTTGGCGCCGAAAGGTCCGTGACCCTGGACTACTCCCGCAACGCCTTCAGGTATCGTATGTACTGGTATGGATAATGTCCTCCGCGAAAAGGGGGCTGTCAGGGCTGTCCCACGTTTCTTGAAATATTCGGCGGCTTCAACGTAACTCCATTGTACTCCGTCGCCAGGAGAGCGCAAGGATCGACGGTAAATTGGCAATCCATTACGGCCGGGTTTACAAAGACCTGCGACTGCCGGAATGATTCAATGAAACAATATCCACTGTGTCGTCCGGATAACGTCAGTGACGCAGAGCCATCCATGAAAGTTGAAACTATGCATCCCAGATACTCATGGGGTGTTAGTCCAATTCATTGAACGCTCGCGATAGCGGGAACAGCGATAATCCGATTTCTATCCCTTGAGCTCGTAGCCGGCATTCTTTCTGTCCGACCGCACTGCCGTACTATGTAGTAGGCGGTTACGAGCCTATCTTTCTGAATCCCTATGTGTTCAATTGCTTTCGGCTCTCTCGGGCAGCTCTCGGGCCTCTACCGCGATTATGTGTCACATTTTGCCATGCTCAAGATACCGCCCACGAAGCGGTCGTCCATGCAGCTCGGCCCGCAGTCAACGTGAACTCATTTTTCCTCACAATTCAACCCCAAACACTCCGGGAAGCCAGGGCGGTTAAGATGAACGCATCATTGTAGCGAAAGTCCCTGCCTGAGGTACAGACTGGCGTCATCGGGCAGTACTTAAGCTTGGCAAAGTGAACCGTGGGAAGTTGATCTAAAAAAGGAAAGAGGAGCAAAAAAACTCTCGACCTGGGAGTCGAACCCAGCTTTCGCGCGTACACAATGCATAATGACAAGCGCGTGTACTAACCGATATACTAGTCAAGACGTGGAAGCGGCGAATTCTGATGGGCATATATACCGGAACCCCATAGCCACATCATGCACCAAATTTTTTTGCCCTTCACAAGCGGATAAGCCTCTTGGGGAGAAGTATCCAAAGCTGTTTTGTCCTGCTTGTTTGTTTCAACCAACCTACATGCTTATTGGCGAAAGTGACATGAGTAACCGACGTTGACACGGTTCGAAAACAGTACACGAATTTGAACTTGATGTTAACGCACACAAGCTTTCACCTTTCCATCTTGTTTCGTCCTTGTCATAAATTATGCGCAAAAGTATATTTGCATTAGTGTGTTATATTTTGAGCGGTTTCGCCGCCGCACCGTCGACAAACACGGTCGGCCCCTTGGGCATCTCTCCCAGGACTTCTTTGGCCGCGTCGTCCAGATTGGGCTCGTCAAAGAACTCCCACTCTAGCGTGCCGCCGTATTGGCGCGGCAGATCCTTGGCATCGATGAGCGTCAAAAGAGTCTCACTTGGGTTCTTGCCTAATATGTGGATCTTGTTGCGCGTGCCCGGGTCAAACCAGCCCTAAGTAAGCCCAGTAAGAAACGTTCCTCTGTGAACGGGGAGACGAGTTACCTTTATCCAGCCCCAAATAGTCGGGAAGAAGGACGGCGCGTTGATGACCGCAATTGTGCTCAACGTCTCGGGGTAGTTGGCCGTCGCGAGCGTAGCAGATTCAGAGAGATGGCTCCGCAAGGTCCACATTGAACCAATCGAGACACCTTGCAGGTCAATAATGGTCACAACACAGGTGATCGGCGTTTGCGTTGGATGTGGAAGGAAACTGCACAGCGGCATGATAAAATCTGTTAACCACTCGTAGAGTGCGATGCTGGGAGTGATATCAGAAAGAGAGAAAGAGAAAGGAAAGGAAAGGAATATTCACATTCGTTGGTAGCGGCGTTCTGGCGGCACGGCGTTGAGTTCTTTCTGGATCGCACCATTCAACGATGCGAGGTGATACACATAGACAGGCATGCCGTTCTGTAATCATGGTCATAAGTTGAAGAGCTGTCATGGAAGTTGCATGGCAGCAGTATTACGCACCTTATCCCGCCTCCCAGTCCACCGCGGATAATATCTTCTGCTGTTCTCCATTTCGTCGGAGTCAAAGGTGGGATACAGGTTATCGACGTCGTTCTTTGCTCTCCACGCCTGAGCATCAGAGAACTGTTTCGTTGCCGCCACAGGATCAAAGCTCCTTGCCCGCAAGAATCGCCTGAGAAGGTTGAGCCGCCGCGTTAGGACGCCGACGATGCACCACGCACAATAGAGTGGGGTCATCGAGGGATCCCGGCTGCGCTGGATCGTAAAGCTTCGATTGGGCGAGCGTACCCTTGAAGGCTTCGAGAGCTTCCTCTTGCGCGGTAGAGAGATGACCGAGATGGCCCGTAAATATGTTGTATGAAGCACTGTCGCCCATTCTAAGCGGTCAGTGTGTCGGCGTTCAAGGACTCTAATACTCCAGAAACCTCTAGTGCGCCACTCGAGGTCTGAGAGATGGAGGGCAAAAGGCAAAGGACTCGGAGAGATGGACCCGCATGTCACCCGCGTGGTGACCGGCGCCGAGATCCGCTGGATGACCAAGGTTTAATTTACGTAACAGGCCGATGCCATCCGGACTTCAACTCCGACGCACTGGCGGTGAGAGGACCTGCGGGCCCGGAAAATCGAGTGACTCGAGTCATCCCAGTCTCCGTGTCCATGGTCAACTGTGCTCGGGTGCTCACTCGCAGACTATTCGTGCAACCAAAGCGCACTGCAGTACTGGCTACCCCACCATGAGATCCATCCAGTCTCAGGCGTCTACTTATCACCGGACCTGCAGCCGCCGCGTTGCGCTCGTTGAGCCCTGATCAGATAGCCTTCGTCCAGAAGTTGCCCAAGGCAGAGCTGCACGCGCATTTGAATGGCTCCATCCCTGTTCCGGTACTTTTCGATCTGGCTCGGGACTGGTACTGCCTCCTCTCAAATTCAAGCAGGTCTGAAGCGACTGGAGAACCTCGAACTCAAGGGGTTGGGCGAATTCTTTGGGCTGTTTCCGGTCATTTACGCGCTTACTTCCGCACCACCAGCACTCGCACGCGCCGCACATGGTGTACTGGGTGAATTTTTGGATGGCGACACTCCTCAATGCACGTATCTTGAGCTTCGCAGCACACCCAGAGCGACTCCTGATATGACGCGCGCGGAGTACGTCGACACAGTGGTAACGGAGGTTGAACGATACCCCAAAGACAAGGCAGCCAGTGCTCATCTTAAGTCTCAATGGGACCATGGACGAGCAGGAGGTCGAAGAATGTATCGGTATCGCTCGTGATTTGAAAGCGAAAGGGAGGAGGATTGTCGGCGTCGACCTGTGCGGGGATCCGTTGGTATGTGAATGCTTCTATCTTCTCGTCTCCATTCTTATCAACCAGGCCGGCGATATGAACAAATTTGCGACCTATTTCGCGAACGCCAAAAGAGATGGCCTCGGAATCACACTCCACATTGCAGAAGTATTTCAATGCAATTCGGGGTTGAACTTGATTGGATTCACTTCCAGACAGAAGAGAACACGTCAGCGGATACCCTGAGGCTTCTCGGATTCCAGCCGGATCGACTCGGGCATGCGACCTTCCTGGACAACGAGGCCAAGACGCTTGTTCTCAAAAATAAACCCTGCATCGAAATTTGTTTGAGCTCGAACTTGCTGTACGCAAAATCACGCATAATCTACGACCCTGGATTCTTAGAAGACTGACGAGTTCCCGCAGTTGCAAAACAGTCTCAAGTCTGGATCAGCATCGCGTCCGATATTATCTTGAGAAGAATCACCCAATTTCCATCTGTGTCTGTTTCTCCATTGTCCTTGAGCCTTCCTGTGCTGACCGGGGATGTTAGACCGACGACATTCTTCCCTTCCAAACTTCGCTGCTCGCGGAAATACGCGCTTCTGCTGGCTCAGGCGCCTCTCGGGCTTGGGCTGTCAGAGATTGAAGTGGAGCGAATTGCTGGCATGAGCATGGCCAATCGCATGCAGACTTCGATAGACTAACCCAGTCGATCCGTCTGTCCTCATAGCCTCGCTGTTGATGAACTACGGGGTTTATACGTATCAATAAACCACATCTCACCATTTATTTATTGAAAGATATCCCCGGGTCAGTTCGTACATGGATAAGACATCCGTTCTGCCTCGTGTCTCCTTTGCGGGAGTTGGAAAGTTGCATGTTCACTTCGTTTGACATCCTGGGAATGTTACGGAGGCAGCCGAGTTCAATGTTGAAATCAACCGCCACACTTGCAACTGGAGCCATTCCCAGGCTATAATCCGTTTTTGCCCGCCATGGCTACATGCTATGCCCGACCTCTTCTTTTTTTTTCCTATCATAATGGAACCTCGAAAGATGAGCACCTCGACTTTCAAAATCGCCCCGGAGCGGTGTTGGCACTGTTCTCAACGGCTGATGCATAGCATTCCCCAGTCGCCGCTCGGGTACGCATGCCCTACCCATCTCAAGGCATCTTATCGAGCTGCACATTAACCTTCGTGAAGTCGGATAGCCTCGTCAACCCACCCCGAGATCACCATGACTTCTGCGATCTTGGAAGGCAGGCGTGCTCTGGCCACTTCCTGTACGCAGAGGGACTCCGAGTCGCCCGCTAGCGTGTCTTATTTTCCACTATGAAATCAGTTCGATCCAAACCCGGTTCTATCCAGGAAGCGTTAAAAAGGCGGCCAGAATGAGCTGCCTTTCGACAATCCAACCCAAAACCGAAGCGAAACGCTCAATGAATCCATTCTCACAAGGTTGGTCGAACACTGCTGCTCCCAATACAAACTACAACGCGTCGTGGGGAACCACTCCATCGATATACGGCGCTCTACCCTACCCAACTCCCCCGGCCGCAGCGCCGAACGTGATCAGCTTCGCCTTCCTGGCACCGAATGGGTCCGTCCTGAACTCGCTCGTCAACGGCCCGCAGTCGCAGACGTATTTCCGGGTCACCACAGACTCCACGACCGCCGGTTTTTCTATGGTTGAAAACGCGCAGCAGGAGACGATCGCGATGATCGAGTGGCGGAAGCACCCCGTTGTTGAAATAGTTGGCGTCGTTTCCAAGAGGAATAGTGCACAGTGGTTGACACTGTCGCCTGACAGAACGTGAGCAACCAAATGCATATTTGTAGAGGCAGACTCTCACTTACTTACCCATGCGGCAGCCACCGACTAATGAACGTCAGAGGGCGCAACTTCAGATGGATGCCGGATGCACACCACGTTGGCGTACGTCGCCGTTTCTTCCGTGGCAGTCTCATATGCTAACAACCCATCCTGTTTAGTTATACAGTGTGAGCCCAGTCAACCCCAAGTTTTTTGGCCGAATATCTCAGGGTCGAGACGGAACCACCTTTGAGATAACGGCTGAAGGTCTTCAGCTTGGACTCTTGGAGGTTTTTGTCGTTTCGGCCTTGCTGTTGATGTGTGGACGCAATATAGATTGAGGGCGTGCAGTAGGTTCGTGTTTGATTTGACGGACACGTTGTAAAATTAGGACTTCGCGCGGTTGAATTGACGGACATGAAGGTCATAGTTTGTAGATGTGGTTGAGCGACTACTTGGGAAAAGCGCATGAGGAATCACCCTGAATTGAGAGATGAAATTCGGCGTACCTTCGAATATATCAAGTTGAAGAACTCGAAAACGTGCTTCGATGGAAAGAAAAACCGGACCATGATTGGTTCGAGATCGATATGTAGGGTTCACCCTTCTATTATACTTGTAATATTATACAGTACTTAACCGGGAAGCGAAACGTCATCGGGAAGCGAAATGGCCGTTATTCAACCACTCGCACCTGACCGATGATCCCAATTTTTTGTGTGGTGGATGCAGCCTATCTGAATTCCCCATAAGCGAAAGGAATTGCGAAAGAAGCTACTTTGGCGGGCGCGGGGAGGAGTTTTATTTGGGGCCTTATTTGGCCGATTG